GCAACCAACCAACTATACCAATATACTTGATGAAATGTAGTTTTTTATATTATATTATGTGGCTAATTCATGATGTATACAATATTGTACAAATATTTGGGCGATGTGATGCATGTTAGTCCTTCCGAAAATGAGCCAGACAATCAGTTCCCGAACAAATATTTTTATTTGACTTCAATTAGATGTTAAACCAAACAAAAAAACAATCTTGAAAATGGAGATAGAGTCGGAACAATATACATAATACTATGTATATTTCTTTCAAAGAAAATATTTCTAACTAATGGTATATATATTGATCATAACTCGAAATTTTTTACTTTTTATTCCAACATATTGAGATTAAATACTAGATAGTAGTTGACTATATATGATTTTCTATATATGATTTTCTATTTACTTAAACTAATTTGTACCACTGCATATATGCCCAATCTTCAATCCAGTGACACCCATCTTTACCATGACTTTAACGAAATCTCCAACAAAATTAGCCTTCGAAATCCGGTGTTATATGCCAAATATAACCATTTATGTTTTTCATATCATTGTTTTGGTATAAAACATAATCCGTTAGAATGACTCCTTTGCCATTTTTGATGTTATGAAAGATTTGGTCGTTGAACATGAACTAACTTTCCCAATCCAGTGGAATCCTAACATTAACATCGCCACCTTTGAACATTTTAACCTTAACACTTGGAAGAATTCTTAGTTTATCGTGGGATCTTGAACATATAAATGTGGCATGACAGAATACAAGTTGTTATACAGATAATATGTGCACTTTCAAATAGAAATAAAATTTGATTAACAAGAATGTAATTCTTCATGTACTTGTCGAGATTATAATAAATATCAGCACTAAAAAGTACGAGATCTTTATCCGAAAGCCCTTTTTCTTAATTTGGATTTCAGAATGTTTACAAAATCTTCAACATCCGGCAAGTTCGCAGTGTTACTTATATTTGGAATTTAACCATTTCTTCAGTTCATCGCTTCTACTCAAACTTCCTTCCCGGAAGAGATTGTTTCCACATTCTTCCTTTTACAGGGGGGGGGGGGGAGAACTTTTCCATCACATCCTCCTTCAAATAAATGTGGTCTTTACTCGGTCGCAATACCGAGTATGATTTCCAACATACTCATCGTTTTGTCTTCTTGCATTAGCGGTCTCCTCGAGGCAGAAGAAGCAACCGGTTTCGTTTCGACCCATTCCGGAGCTGAGGATTGGTATTCAATGTCACATTTAAAAGTGACTAATCGCCAACATTACGGCTATGCCATGAGTTTTCTACCGACGCATTCGAGCTTTGCCTAAATTCGTTGTCGATCTTCTTTGAATAACTATATGCATTTTCTACTATAGTTTGTTTTATTGTAGCAATCAAAGAGGATGTTATCCCCTCATCTCCATGTATTTCCGAATTTTAGTTTAATGAATTCAAAAAAAAAAAAAAACCATCTCTTCGACCTTTCGGAATCTCATAAAAAAGTTCTTGTATTTTGGAGTAGTTACGAATGATTTTTGATATTTTTTATTTTTTAAATATAATTTTGGTTACCTTTTTGAAAAATCGAATAATTTAAAATCTTTACGAATAATTTTAGACAATTTTAAAATTTATAATAATCTGAAAATTAGTAATTGAGATATTTCGAAAATTATTACGGATATGTAATAATATTAAGTAACCATTAAAATAAATAATTT